CTTTAATTAAATCACGCTGAATACACTTATTGGAAATACACTCGTTTTGGGCCTCTGCCCTACGCTCTTAGTTCACGCTCGCTCGTTAATCTCGCGTTACTCTCTCGTCTTTCACGCACCTTCTACCTTCCTAACTCTCTGACTCTCTCTAACTCACTGACTCTCTTACACACACACACGCTTACCAACGCTCACGCTCTAGTGCCATCTCGGCTAACTCCTTCGCTCGCTCATTGGCTGTCGCCATTATTCCCTATAACGCTCCCTATAACGCTCCGTCTCATCGTCTCATTCGCTCGCTTACAATCGCTATCGTTATCACAAGAGATAGAGAAACTGTTACGTGATGATATTATTGAAAGAGTAAAAGGGCCGACGCCCTGGGTATCTCCAATAGTACCGATAGTTAAAAGGTCGGGAGAAATACGTCTTTGTTTAGATTTACGTAAAGTAAACGAGGCAATAACTCGTCAACGAAACCCGTTACCTGTATTTGTAGAACTACTTGATAAAGTAAGAGAAGCGAAGTGTTTCTCAAAATTAGATATTTGAGGAGCATTTAATCAAATTGAGCTTGATGAAGATACGCGAAGTATTACTACGTTTAGTACGGATTGTAGTCTATTTAGATCTAAGAAGTTAGTTTTCGGTTTAAACTGTGCGCCGGAAATTTTTCAAGAAACATTGGAAGAGATTTTACGAGATCTTGAGGGTGTAATAAATAGTGCAGACGATATTGTGGTTTATGGAAAGAATTTAGGAAGATCATAATCGGAAACTTCAGAAAGTACTTGATAGACTCTTAGAGAAGGGCTTGACACTTAATAAAAATAAATGCGTTTTCGCGGTTAAGGAGATTGAATTTTTGGGATTTATAGTAAACGGGTCAGGTTACCGATTAATGCGATCGAAAGTTGAGTCAGTACAGAACTTCAGAGAACCCGAAACGCCAGAAGAAGTCAGAAGTTTCCTGGGGTTGGTCAACTTTGTGCAGCGTTTATTCCAAATATGGCGACAATTAGCGAACCTTTAAGAAGGCTTACACGAAAGAGCGAACCATTCGTGTGGGGTGAACCACAGAAAATCGCATTTCAGACGCTGAAAGATAAGCTGACGGATGCAGAAACGCTAGGTATTTATAATCTGGATGCGAGAACTAGAGTAGTTACAGACGCTAGCCCGGTAGGCATAGGTTGTGTTTTAGCACAAGAACAGGATCGACAATGGCGAATTATAAGCTTTGCGAGTCGAAATTTAACTGATTATGAGAGAAGATATTCACAGACAGAAAAAGAAGCTTTAGCACTTGTCTATGCGTGTGAAAGATTTAAATATTGGCTTTTTGTATTAAGTTTGAATTGGTCACAGACCATAAAGTCTTAGAATGTATATTTGCACCAAGATCAAAGCCATGCAGCCGCATAAAGAGGTGGGTGCTAAGACTTCAAATGTTCAAATACAAAGTGATATACGAAAGTGGAAAGAGTAATATTTCAGATCCGTTATCTCGTTTATTAAAAATAGGTAATAACGAGGGGGAGAAAAGTAAGTGTGAGGATGAATTGTTTATCGCGTGGGTTGCAAAAGAGAGTGCGCCGAGAGCAATGTCTATCGAAGAAGTGGAAGTAGAATCGCGCAAAGATTCGTGGTTAGGTGAAGTTAGGCAAGCGATTGCGACAGGAAACTGGGAGTCAATATCCAGTACGCGGATAAAAGCAATTAAAGACGAACTTTGTGTGTATAATAATGTTGTGTTACGGGGAACGAGAATTGTCCTACCTAAAAAGCTAAAGAAGCGAGTATTATCAATAGCGCATAAGGGACATCCAGGTATTGTTGCGATGAAGGATAAGCTAAGAAGTAAGGTTTGGTGGGCAGAAATCGATAAAGATGCGGAAAATTTTGTAAAAACGTGTGAGAGCTGCCAAATAGTGCAAAAGACAGCTAATATCTCACCGTTGAAACCAAACGCGCTGCCGGATAGTTCGTGGGAATGTTTAGCGATGGATCTCCTTGGGCCTTTGCCTTCCGGAGATTTCATATTCGTGATTATTGATTATTACAGTAAGTTCTATGAAATAGAGATAATGCAATCAATTACGTTGGCAGCAATTATTGATAGATTGAAACATATATTCGCGAGGTATGGTTATCCGAATAGATTAATATCTGATAACGGAAAACAATTAGTGAGCGAAGAAATGAGGGAATACACGTCTAGGTGCGGTATTAAACTTGTTCATGTAGCGCCGTACTGGCCCCAAGCAAATGGGAAAGTCGAAAGACAAAATCGCAGTCTTCTTAAACGCATAAAAATTGCACAGCTTGAACGAAAAGACTGGAAACAAGAGATATTAGACTATCTGTTTATGTATCGCTTATCTCCACAAGCATCGACAGGGGTTTCGCCAGCGGAACTAATGTTCGGTCGAAAGATAAAAACTAAAATGCCAGAATTGCAAGGGATCAGAAATAATCTAGATGAAGCTATTAGAGATAGGGATGCTCAGAAAAAGCTTAAAAGTAAAGAACGATATAATTTGCGGAACAATGCGAAAGAAAGTGAGTTGAAATTGGGTGACACTGTTCTACTAAAAACGATAAAGCGGGATAAATTAAATCCGGCGTATGAAAGCGTTAAGTACGAGGTAGTTGATCGAGCCGGTGATAATGTAACGATTAAAAATGCGGATGGAAAAATGTTTAAACGAAATGTAGCGCATGTCAAGAAATTTAATCGTGCAGGGCCTAGCAAATCCGACGAAGATGTTAAAATAATATCAGAGCAAAATGTCAAGGTAAAAACCGAATCGGAGTCGCAGGATGACTCTGTTGTTGCAACGAAGTCAGAACCAAGTGCTGATCTTAATGTAACGCAAAGTAGGCCTGTACGAGACAGAAAGTTACCAAATCACCTAAAGGATTATATAATGCACAGCACATAATATTGCAGAAATATTGCAGTAATATTGCAATATAGTGGAAATATTACGTATTACAATGAAATATTTCAGAAATATTCCTGATGTATTACACGTTTTTAAATAATATTGAAATATTACAGTAATATTGCTGCAATATATTGTTGAAATATAATACTTTAAGTAGCAAAATAATGTCAAATGACATTTTAATGACATCTTATTGACGTCATTAAGACGTTATTAAGGTATCACACAATCATACGTATTGCACAGATAATATATACCAGTTAAAGAATTTTGGACTGAAAGAAAGAAAAATCTAAATAAAAAAATGTGATGAAATCAAAAGAGACTGACTTGTACTTTTGGGGAATAAAAGTGATTAAGATAAATTTTATAAGTGGTGGTATTTAATTTTATAACTTGTTATTTGTTTTGTAATAATAAAAGGTAATTATATGTACAATTAATTTTTAATTAAGAGCCAGTAAGTAAATTGATAATAAAATAAATGGATAAAATTTAAAATTTATATTTCTTATATAATCAATATTAAACTTTTCAAATTACGAGTTTGTCACACGGATAAACAGAACGTTTCTGAGTGCGTAAGTGGAGGGAAGAACGCTAGTGTGTGTGGCTATGCGCTTGGTCGCAGCACCGACCCCCACCATTCCCGGACTTCTCACGCTGTCTCTTGCATGGCTCCGTGGGACCACGCAATCACGTGTACGACACCGCACAGAAACAATCGTTTCAATTTCAGGTAATTTTTCTTTATTTAATAAATATTGTTCACACAAACATTTTTAAAAGTATTTTTGTATAATTATTACTAATATGTACATTGTACATATATATTTGGCGATTTGTCTTTAAATCCAAAAATAGAGATTACGTGGCATAATGGTCTGCAAAAACCACGTTAATATCATAAAAATCATTTCAATGACCATCTTAAAATACATATATTTGCCTTTATAACCTTATTGAACGTGTCTCTAATAAAATTATTTATTAACGGCTTCATACTTAAATCTTGATGCTAACTTAACCTCAAAATTTTTAACAGTTTAATCCAACTGGAGCCCTTAGTTGGAGATACGTGATAGAAATATGCCGATCCCAAATCTCCTAAAAAGCAGTTTAATCATTAATTAAATGATTTAACCATAATTATTTAATCATTTACATGATTTTATAATAATTATTGTTCTTATGCTATATGTTACAGTATTGCTTTCCATCAGTGGATGTTTATGCAGTCCAGAGCAGCACCAAGTAGTTTGATAGAAGAGCAAAATATTTATTTATTAGATATGTAAGTAAGAAAAAGTTAAATTTGATATAAACCATACTTTCCAATATTAATCGTCAATACTGAAAATCCAAAGTATACGTGTAACATCAACTACAGATTTTCAGTATTCATAGATAGTGAATATCACAATACAGATTCATACTTAACCTACTTTTATGTTTAAAATATATAATTAGATGTAAATAATAATTACTGTTTTTGTATTATGTTGCAGTGTTACGTTGCTTTCCATCAGTGGAAGTTTACGCAGAGCAGCACCAAGCAGTTTGATTTCTATCAAACTCTTCTGAGCGACAGCTTCATTTATTAGATACATAAGTAAGAAAAATTTAAACTTGGTATAAACTGCGTTCTAATATTTTAATATCCAGTACTGAAAATCTAAAGTGTATGTATAACATTAACCATAGATTTTCAGTATAGACAGTGAATATCGGAACACGTCATACTTATCCCCGTACTCTTATGTTTTAATATGTAATTATATATGAAATAAACAGGATGATTTTTATTTCGTGTGCCAATCATCTCTGCTATAATTATCTCAGAAAGTATTGATTTATTGGAAAAATGTTTCAGATAAAAGTTGGAGAGTTCAAGGAGGACCAATAGACAATTTTATTAGATTTTGAGTCCGGGACCTGTGTTAAGCCTAATAGGATCCAAGTCAAATTATTTAAATAGAAACCTCCTTTTTATGGTATCATCTTTTTCTACTAATTAATGTGAACAACTTTTGTCTGAAACATTTTTTTATTTGCCTTATACTTTTTGAGATATTCAAGGAAAACTTGGTATTTTTTTCAATATTTAGCTTACAATAGATGTTTGTCAATAAATGTTCGTCGGAGTAAAAAGTGGTACAGGACTTTTTGACTTGATTTGGTTTCAAGAATATACTGTCGCAATAGTATTCTAATTTCTTTAAACAATTGTGTACACATGAAAGCTTCAAAAAAATGTATACACAAATATTTAAAGAAATTAGGGTATTATTGCAATAGCATATTCTTGAGATCATATCAAGTCAAAAAATCATTATATCATTTTCCCCTCCGACAAGCATTTATCAAGATATAAGCTAAATATTAAAAAAATTATCAAATTTTTCTTAAATATCTCAAAAAGTATAAGGCAAATAAAAAATGTTTCAGACAAAAGTTGTTTATATTAATTAGTAGAAAAAGATGATGTAATAAAAAAAGGGAGTTTTTATTTAAAAAATTTGACTTGGACCCTACTGGGCTCAACATGGGTTCCAGACTCAAAATCTAATAAGATCATCCATTATTCCTCTATAAACCCTCCAACTTTTATCTGAAACATTTTTCCAATAAACCAATACTTTCTGAGATAATTAGTGAAGATAATTAGCATACAAAATAAAACTCACCTTGTATAATTAGATATAAATAATAATTACAGTTTTTGTATTATGTTATAGTGTTACGTCATTCTTTATCAGTGGAAATTCATACAGTGCAGAGTAGCATGGAGCAGTTTTGAAGAAGAAAGAGATAGAAAGATAATATCAATATTATTTTCTTAATATTGTATGTAATACTATTATTAAAAATAACAATTTGATAAAATTTAATAATATTCATTAAAATGTTTTAATTTTTAGCAATATTAAATAAATATTATCTAATATTACACATATAATATTATTGCGTTTACAATATCAATATTATTTTAAAATTGTATGTAACAATACTATTAAAAATAATTTAATAAAATTTAATAAAAATTATTAAAATGGTTTTTTAATTCCTAGTAATATTATACAAATATCACGATAATATTATAGTAATTTTACCGTAATATTACTGATATATTGCAGTAATATTACCGCAATATTACTGAAATACTGCGACGCTAATTTCTCTATATGATTTTCCCCGAGGCGGGAGGCGGGACTAAAGCGCGTAGCAAATATATGATCGGGTGGCGGAGCGGATCTCGAAAGCGATACAAAACAATGTTGGGCGCCAGGTGTGGATACGGCCACACCACCGTTTACTCTAAAATGGCGCGTAGGCAAGGAAACTCTCAAGCAAGCCTACGCGTCTCTCTCACCCGCGAAAAATACTCTACATGAACTCTACAAAGATCCGACATAAACTCTAATTATCGACACAACTCTTAATTCACACGTTATGACACATCCGCTCTGGCCGATCGCAACGACTGCTCAGGAATTTCGTTGGAGGGTCGTGGTCCTTACATAGGCCGAATGCAGAGGGGTTTGACCTTGGCGAGGCGAAACAAACACAAAAGAAAGCACTCAAGTAACATGTAAATCAAAATATAATATAAGATAAAGCGTGATAATAGCGGTACAACTTACAGGACGCGAACGAATAAGTATCCACCGCGATCCATCGCAATTCCCCGACCACGCAAGGTCGTTTGAAGGGTTCGCGCGTTATAAACAAACTCGGACGCAGAACTAATATTCTCGGAAAAACGTACGAGTAACTTGTACTCGCAATAGAAGTATGCGAAGCGCAATAATATACGCCGATGAAAAAATACACGCACGAAATAGTCTACGCTAAGAAATACGCGAAAAGTAATAAGATACGCCGACGGAATAATACCCGCAATCACCATAATCCACGCTAACTAACGAAAGAGTAAAATAAACGATACGCGCACAATAATCTCTCGCAAAATAAACGATACGCGCAATATAACTTAACGTTCCTCGCAAACTAAACGATACACGCAATATAACTCAAAGTTTTCCGCAAACTAAACAATACACGCAATATAGGAGTTCTCACATAACACCTCTCATAAATAACGCGAAGCCTCGCCGCACGGTCCACACCGCGAGCACGTGATACTCACGCCTAATTCAGCCCGGGGCGTGCGGTACTCTCAGCCGGAGTAAATCTCACTCTAAATTTCTGAACGGTAATCGAGGCCGATTTCGGGCACCTTCTTCGAGAAGGCTGACTCTATGTCCGGTATGCCGACGCCTCACACTTCCCGTACCGGGCGCGGTACTTTACGTATCCCGGAGGCCGACACGCCCCAGAACAACCGTACGCACAAAAGCCCGCACGATGAAACTTTCACTACGCGAAAACTAACTCTAGCGAAAACGCAGATATCTTACACACAGATCGATAGACACGATACTCATAAACGGTAATCTCGAAAAGCTCGAAACGGTAACATAACTCTAATGACTGTTGAGCCGATCCGCGAGGTTTGATCTCGCAACACGCGCCACATCCATGGCCGGTGCCACGCGGTCGCTCGTCGTTACTCGATTACACTCAAAATCTTATACCACACCGGTCGAGTCGGGAAGAAACGGACGCCCCTTCGGTATTATTACGGGGAGTCAGCGGGCGGGCTATGTCTTACCCGTAGAAACGACACGGAAAAGCGATAATCCCGGCAAGGGATTCACGACAATGACGCGTAGGTAAGGAAACTCTCAAGCAAACCTACGCGTCTCTCTCAAAAATAACGCGAAACGGTACTCGACAATCCGCCCCGCTGTTCCCCGATACCTGCGGTCCGGGATTGTTGGTCGTTTACATCTCGTCTTTCCTTCCTTCACAACGTAACTCCTAGGGCCGCCGCCCTCGCTTATTCCCGGCGCAACGGGAAGGCCTTCTCTCTACGTCAACCCACGCTCGCGATCGACCCAACAGTGCCGGGATCGTTTCCGCGGCTTCGA